AATTTTTTTTTTGAGATGGAGTTTTGCTCTTGTTGCCCAGGCTGGAGTGCAGTGGGGCGATCTTAGCTTACTGCAGCCTCCGCCTCCTGGGTTCAAGCGATTCTCCTGCCTCAGCCTTCTAAGTACCTGGGATTATAGGCGCCCAGCTATATTTTTTGTATTTTTAATAGAGACACCATGCCCAGCAAATTGTTTGTATTTTTAGTAGAGACAGGGTATTGCCATGGTGGCCAAGCTGGTCTCGAACTCTTGGACTCAGGTGATCCACCCACCTTGGTCTCCCAAAGTGCTGGGATTACAAGTATGAGCCACTGGGCCTGGCCTGTCTTTGAGGTTTTTATTTATTTTATTTTATTTAAAGACGGGGTTTCACCATGTTGGTTAGGCTGGTCTTGAACTTCCGACCTCAGGTGATCCGCCCGCCTTGGCCTCCAAAGTGCTTGGATTACAGCCGTGAGTCACTACGCCTGGCCGTCTTTGAGTTTTATGATCTGCCTGTTACTTGGATTGTCACTGCCTTCCTACACGCCAGCCCTTACCAAATCCTCCCCTCTACTTTTCTTCTGGCTACTATTCTCTCCAGACTGACATTTCCAATTTGTGTCCTCCCTGACTTGGTGTCACCAAGAACCCAAATCCCTATTGGGACTTAGGTGGTCTTGTAGCTGCCCTTTGCCCCCAGGATCTGAAGGAAAGTCCTGCAGACTGAAGCCAGAAAGTTTGATATAAACTTGAAAGAACTGAGCACCACAACATATTCCGCAGCAAGGCGGCTACACAGGCCACCCAGGAAGCACCCCCTCAAGCTCCTGCACGCCCCTTGCTCTCTCCAGGAAGTAACCACCCCTGGGATACCAGTGCCTGCGCCATCACCGCAAACTTCACACCACACACCAGGAAATCCACGAGTGCTCCTGCTTTCCTTGTTAGGGCCCAACTGCCAGAAATCTCAACTGCTGCCCTCTAGGCTCAAAAACTGGATTTATCAACAGCTCCAACCACACATCTTTGTTTTGCTTGCTTGTTTTTTTTCGTCGTTTTAATATAGGGTCTCTCTCTGTTGCTCAGGCTGCAGTACAGAAGCATGATCACGGCTCATGGCAGCCTCCACCGCCCAGGCTCAAAGGATTCTCTCACCTCAGCCTCCTGAGTGGCTGGAACTACAGGCGCATACCACCATGCCCGGCTAATTTTTAAATTTTTTGTAGAGATGGGGATCTCACTATGTTACCCAGGTTGGTTTCAAACTTCTGGTCTCAAGTGATCCTCCCCAGCCTCCAGAAATGCTGGCATTACAGATACGAGTCACCATGCCTGGCCTATTTTTGTTTCCTCATTAAATGCTTGACTGCATCATCCAGCAAAAATCCTTTGCTACCAAGTGTCGAGAGATGGTCCCGCTAGCACCTTATGAACACAGCACTGAACAGAAAATGGATGGGTAACTGCTGAGAGCAAAGAAGCATGTCTCTGCCCTTCTTGCACAGGAGGGCTGCTGACAAACTCTCCCTCCCCATACTACAGCCAGGCTCCCGGGAGCCCCCTCCTCCACTGGGCCTCGCCCTGGCCTAGCCAGGCTGGAACAAACACTAACACAGCTCCTGATAGCTCAAGGCCACATTCTTAGAACGATCATAGTGCCCTTTAACGTGCCTGCCTGAGAAACTCAAGGCTGCCACAAGAATTTCCTGTGAATTCTGGCCAATGCCTGAGGATGAGGTCCCGGTCTCCCAGTCTCTGTGGGAGGTTGGGGGCCTGACTTCAGTAAGCCCCAAGGGCAAACCCAGATCAGCTGATTTCACAAGGGCCAACCCTCCCTTCCTGGTTTTGGTGATTTTCGACTTCCCTCACTCTACAGAGTCCCCATCCCTTCCTACTCCCTCACTCTCCCTTTAAACTCCAGGCGTGTCGACATGGAGCCAGCTTTTTCTCAAGTTGTCAGTTGTTACTAAGTAAAAATCTGTTTTTCCTGTATTAACTAGTGTCTCACTGGGTCCTGCAGGGCAGCTCCTATGGACCCTCCAGCTTGGAGGAAAAATCCAAAAAGCAGGTCTGTTAGCAGGGCAGGCCTGGAGGGACTTCCCCTTTCGCTAACATTCCCACGTGGTCCTGCACACCACACAGCACCCGCCCGGGGAGTCCTGGGCCCCTTCCTGGTGGAGTGGCCACTCTCTTGCAGTGGAAGGCCTGCGGTACTCCGAGGCCTCCAACAGGATGCCTGTTAGACAGGTCACCAAGACCCTCTGAATCGGGGGCTCCAGAGACCCTCCTCCAGGCCCCCTGCAACTCTCCAGCTCTGAGAGTCTGATCTCAGCCCAAGACCAAGTGGGGCCCTCCCCTGTGACTCCGCCACACCCTCATCAGGTCAAGCCCTACTCCAGGGACAGGCTTATCCTCCTGGTCTGGACCCCCAACCCAGTCTTGAAGCGGGATCTCCCACCCCTATCTGGAGCCCCTCACCTTAGCACAGGTCTTCAACCTCAGCCTCCCACAAGGAGTCTGTGGATCCCGCCCCGGTCCAAAGATGCCCACCCAAGGTCCGAATTCCCCACCCCCATCCATAGCTCCTCGACCCGGGTTCAGAGACCACCCCCCCGACCAGAAGTCGGCTCCCTTCACCGAGGTCCGAATTCTTCACTCCCCGTCCAGGGCTCCCCACCCCAAGTCAGATCTCTCCCCCCGGGGCCGAGGAACCCCGCCCAAAGTCAGATCCCTTCGCGTCGGTCGGAATTCCCACACCCTATCCCGAGGTCCCGCCCTAGGTCCGAAGGTCCCCGCCCCAACCCGGCCCCCGCCCGGCCCCCGCCCGGCCCCCGCCCGGCCCCCGCCCGGCCCCCGCCCCAGTGCGGCCCCAGTGCGGCCCCAGTGCGGCCCCCGTCCGGCCGGCGCGCTCACCTCTGCTGCGGCGGCGCGCGCTGGGACAGGACCCGCCCCGGCGGGCGCAGGCAGCGCGGCGGGCAGCCTCAGCCGCCCGGGAGGCCCCGCGACGATGGCGGCGATGGCGGCGGCGCTGCGGGGACTGGGAGGGCGCTTCCGGTGGCGGACGCCGGCCGTGGCGGGCGGGGTGCGGGGCGCGGCGCAGGGTGCCGTAGGTAGGTTGGGGCCGGGGCGTCCTAGTGGGGGTGTCCGCGCGCCCAGAGCCTGGGTGTCCGCCTGGGGGTGCCCTTGTGAGGATGTCCGCGCGGCTGGGGCGGGGGTGCCCCGTGGGCGTGCTCTCGTGGGGGTGTCCGTGCGGCGGGGGCCAGGGTGTCCCCGTGGGGGTGGCCACGCGGGGGTATCCATGATCTAGTCTTGCGCAGGAGTCCGGGCTGCTCCTAGCCCACAGGCAGCCCCCTTCCTAGATGGGGAAACTGAGGCTGGGTGCCTTGTCTAAGGTCCTGCTGTGCTGGCTGCACCTTTGGTCTCCCATGGCTGGCGCCCCAGTAACAACTACAGTCCTGAAGAGGATGATGTCCCACCTCCTGAGGTCACCAGGCACCGACTCCACTGGCCAGACCTCCCATCTCCTACCTTGTCCCCAGACTCCTAGAGTCTAGAGGCTAGAGGCTGCACAGAGCAAGGGGAGGATACACACTCATCCTCCTGGAGCCCCTGAGGAACAGTTGACCAAATCAGGACCATAATTATAATTGAGCACTCGAAGCAGGGGCTGGGTGCCTGATCACTCAGGAGGGTTCTAACCTCATCCTGTAGGACAGATTCCCCTGGAGCCGGCCAAAGCGCCACCATGTCTGTTGTTATGTGTGGCCAGTTTCATTCCATGCACAACAGCATGGTCCCCCACCATGCAGCAGGGCCTTCGACCCTGCCCTCTGGACGCCTGTGACAGCGAGCAGCTCTCCCCACAGGCGATGAGTGTAGAGGGGTGTAAGGATGGGGTTAGGGCTCCTTCCCAGGGATGGCGACTGGGAGGCAGGGTGGCTGGCCCTTGGCCAGCGGTGGACTCGGGAGGGAGGGCTGACAGCATGTGTGAATGGGCAGAGGTGTTGCTATGGAGGTCTTGTGGATCTCCAGGTTGGGGGGTGACCCAACAGAGTCCGGGGAGGCAGTCACCACCTCACGGCTTTTCTGAGCCCTGAGACCCTCGGCCAGGGCACTCCATCTTTCAAAGCTTCCTGGCTGCGTGTGTCAGGTTAAATGCACCCACCCATGCTTCCACCTGGTGCTCGTAAAAGACTCATAAACAGGAGCTGCCCCTGTGATCACAAGCTCAGGGCCCTTCAGGTTTCCAGTAACCATGGCCTTGGGCCAGAGCATTTGGATTTTAGCTGGGCAAGGAGGTACCCTGAGGGTCCTGTCCCTCACTGGGGCAAGGAGGAACTGATTGGCCTAGAGAAGATGCTGACCCACTACAGCGACTTTGGAGTACAGTTTTTTGTATTTTTTTTTTTTAGTAGAGATGGGGTTTCACTATGTTGGCCAAGCTAGTCTTGAACTCCTGACCTCATGATCTGTCTGCCTCAGCCTCCCAAAGTGCTGGGATTACAGATGTGAGCCACTGTGCCTGGCCCAGGGTGCAGTTTTTGTTGTTGTTGTTTGTTTGAAGACAGTCTCACTCTGTCACCCAGGCTGGAGTGCTGTGGTGCTATCATAGCTCACTGCAGCCTTGAGCTCCTGGGCTCAACTCACCCTCCAGCGTCAGCCTCCCCGGTAGCTGGGACTACAGGCCCTGCAGTTTCTCCTTTTAGAGCAGGAAGACCTGCTCCGTCCCAGGCTTGGAGGAGGTGGCTGATGTAGCCCCTGAACAGGAGCCAGAGCGACCCTTGCTGCCAGGAAAGAGCTCAAGGTAGGGAAGCAGCCGCACAGGAAGGCCCCTGAGGTGGCACGCACGGTGGCCAGCCCACCTGTGGGTGCACATTTTGGGGAGCCTTCTGCTTGCTTTCGCTGGTACAGTGCTCCATTCTCTTGGGCCTTGCTGTGAGCTCTGGGCTCCTGCTCTTTGCTGGCCTGTACCAGGCACTGGGTTCAAAGAGGAGCAGAAAATTATTATAATTGTTATTATTATTAGAGACGGAGTCTCGCTCTGTTGCCAGGCTGGAGTGCAGTGGCGCAATCTCAGCTCAGGGGTGGTGGCTGTGGGAGACAGGGTGGCTGGCCCTTGGCCAGCAGTGGACTCGGGAGGGAGGGCTGCAACCTCCGCCTCCCAGGTTCAAGCAATTCTCCGGCCTCAGCCTCCCGAGTAGCTGGGACTACAGGTGTGTACACTACCACCCCCAGCTAATTTTTGCATTTTTAGTAGAGATGGGGCTTCACCATGTTAGCCAGGATGGTCTCGATCTCTTGACCTTGTAATCTGCCTGCCTTGGCCTCTCAAAGTGTTGGGATTATAGGTGTGAACTACCATGCCCAGCCCAGAGCAGAAAATTAATGGACAATGTGTCAGCAGGCGAGGCGAGGCAGACACTTTCTGGGGCCAAGCCCTGCAGGCAGAGAGGGTATACCTGGCCAAAGTGGGTGAGGGGCAAGGTTATGAGGTTTCCCAGGGCACTGGAGCGCACAAGTGTGTCCCCAGGTAATGCCTGCCGCCCGGTAATGCCTGCCGCCCAGCCCTTCCTCCCACAGAGCAGCATCTGCCCTACCCACCTTTGAGGTACTTTGGGGTCCTTCCTCCCCATCAGGCTACCCAGCCCTCCCAAGTGCTTAAAGACAGATTTGCTACACTTGCAAATGACTCCCCTATGCCAGTGTTTATCAGCCCGAGAGGGCTCCTGGGTGTGCACAGGGGGAGAGCAAGCCGCCTGAGATAAGCACATCCAGACAGCTGCTCATCCTCCCCGACAGCAGATGGGGCACAGTGCCAGGCTGCAGGGCAGGACGACCCAGCGAGGGCCCTGTATGGCAGCAAGAACAGGCACGGGAGGTAGGGCCTTTCTGGGCAAAGCCTCCAGCCACCAGACAGCAGGAGGAGAGAGATGCTCCTCCATCAGCAGGCGCATGCTCCCCGGGGGACCTGGTGGCAGCTTCTCCCTGACCAGCAGTCCTTGGTGCTCTAGACTTATGTTAAAGCCACCAGAATAATTTACAGCAGCTTAGGCCTTTCCAGAGCTCTTGAGTTGAATTAGGAATTGAGTGTGCTTTAGACTGGCTGCTGGGACCGAGCAGTCAGATGCTGGCTGCCAGGCGAAACCGTGGGAGTGTCTGGGTATGGGGCAGGCTGGCGTGAGGCCGTGGCCTGAGTGCCTGGATGCAGCTTCTCAGGCTTTCTCAGCTGCGAGCCAGGGCTCGTCTCGGTTCCAGCTCTTGTCTCCTTTAGGAGTGCAGGTTCTAGACCCCTGTCTGTGGGGCATTGGCAGAGTGGGGGTGCAGAGGGACATGGCACTCCAGGTATATTCTCTGCAGCCTTGCCTGCTTAGGAAGGCAGAGGTGGCTGCAAAGATAGACTCGGCCTTCTCATGACACAGGCTGAGCTCTGATGCTGGTGCTGGGCAGGTTGCCTAGCCTTGGATGACAGACCCTGCTCTGATCATGGAACCTCTTGGCCTCGTCTGAAGCAGTGACCAGCTCCAGATGATAGGCTCAGCCTTCTCATGACACATGCTGAGCTCTGATGCTGGTGCTGGGCAGGCTGCCCAGCCTTGGATGACAGACCCTGCTCTGATCATGGAACCTCTTGGCCTCGTCTGAAGCAGTGACCAGCTCCAGATGCCCTGGCAGGGTAGTGCTTCTCATCTGGCAGGCTGGTATCTGCAGACGGGCTGAGAGCACTACTTGTTTTATACCCCAGACTCCTGTCATCAGTCCCCACCCTGCGCTCACCCCAACAGACTGATGCCTTTCAATTATTCCCTCCTTCCTTCACCAGGGAGTGGGCTGGTGCTTGTTGTGGGTGTCCCGGCCCTCAGGCCCAGTTCAGTGTGCTTCCCGTCTACTTCCTCCCTCCACTCCCTTCTTCTCCATCCCTCCCTTTTTTGGCAGCCCCTTGCTTGCCTGTCTTGTCAGTAGCTTCCAGAGTAGACACAGATGACAGCTTTTGCAGGCTAAAAAGACTGAGAGTGGCCCTATGTGCAGTGAGCCACCATGGACGACCGAGGCCAGGCGACACCACAGCCAGCCTGAAAGGAATTCCAGGAATAAAACCTGAGCCTAGGCAGCTGTCCCTGTGCCCAGGTGGCTTCCCTGCTGGGTCACTGCGGCCAGGTGCACAGAGACCCTGGCTGTGTGGACGGGCCAGCTGTGAGCGACAGGGGCTGTTTGTGCTTTTATTCCTGCTCACTTGTGATGGAGGGCAGACTTCACAACCGAAAGGCGTGTGGACTCCAAAATGTTTTAGGCCATCTTGGTGGCTCACGCTTGTAGTCCCAGGACCTTGGGAGGCTAAGGTGGGAGGATTGCTTAAGGCTAGGTGTTTGAGACCAGCCTGGGTAACATAGCCCCCGTTTCTACAAAACAAAACAAAAAAATTAGCTGGACATGGTGGTCTGTGCCTATCGTCCCAGCTATTCTGGAGGCTGAGGCTAGAGGATCACTTAAGCCCAGGAGGTAGAGGCTGCAGTGAGCTGTGACTGCCCCACTGTGCTCCTGTCATGGGGGCCCTTCCAGGTCTGTGTCCCAGCCCTGTACTGACCATGTTCCTTCTCACCTTTCGTCGCTCCCCCCAGCAGGGCGGTGGGACTATAATCTTCTGGGTGACAGAGTGAGACCCTGTCTCAAAAATAAACAGAATAAAAAAGAAAATAGCTCTGTGTCTCCATCAGAACACTGGGTAAAGTTTGAGTTCAGAGCAGTTGACCTGGTGTGTGTATGCAGCGTGGTTTGCAAAGATGATCACACGCACCCATGACCAACCTCGCCCCCATATGGCTTGATCTCTGGATTTGCACAGACGATGTGTATGGAGTCACTCTTTCTGCTCTGATGCGTGGTACCTTGTCACCCCTGACTGTCACAGAATGGAGTCTCCCATCCTGGATAAAATAGATCCCATACCATGTTTAACCAGAGAGCTTTTAGCCTGTTGGAAATTGTGAGGGCCCTTCTGGGTGTGTGCCCCAGACCTGTGCTGGCTGCATTTCTTCTCACCTCTCATTCCTTCCCTCAGCAGGTCAGTGGGACTACGATCTCCTGGTGATTGGCGGGGGATCTGGCGGCCTGGCTTGTGCCAAGGAAGGTATGAATTCTGTATCCTTTGTGGCAAGGCCTCAAAGCTTTTAGGGCCCCCAGCGAGGGTGGTGCTGTCCAGAAAGCATCCATGAGCAGAATGTGCTACCTCCCTGCTGGGGTCACCTCAGTGGCCTCTGGGCTGTAGTCTGTTCCCTGCCATGCTCCACCTGTCTACTGCACCCAGTGGCCACGGTGAAGCTTCCACCAGGGCTCACGGTCAGTTCTGCTGGCTGAGCCTTATACTTGGCCTGGCACCCAGCGAGCATTCAGTAAAGATGTTGGGCAAACGGGCTGGACCCAGAGGTATACAGAGATGACACCTTGCAGTCCTCTACTATCCCGCAGGGTGCACAGGCCATCAGCACTTTGCTGGACTCTGCCCTGTATAGGAGTTCCTGGTCTGCTCTGGCAATGTCTAAACATGATAAGGGGGCAGATGTGGTGAATGGAGAGGAGAGGGGACGAGAGGCAGGTGAGGCTGAAATGAGAAGGCGTTAACCATGCACTTTGGACCTGAAGCTGCGCTTCTCTGATGTACAGTATTGGGCTTTAGAAGCACAGATGGTGTAAAGGAAATCCACTACTCTTGCTCCGGGGGGCTGGGGAGTGGATAGGAACCTGGGAAGTCTCCTGGCTGATTGGGGATCAGCACCATACTGGACCCTGAGAGCCACTCCCAGAAACGGATGGCATAGGCGGCGACAAGGCCTGGTGCTGTTCTTTACAGCAGACCAGGCGCCTGGGCAGTGAATTCACTCCCATGCTGTAGCTGCAGAGACCTGAGTCCCCTTTAATCCAGAATATGGGCAGCGCCTGGGTATGTCTTCGCCTTTCGTGAGAGTGGCATTTCCTTGCGGACGATGACATGGTTTTGCAGCTTTGTTGAGATAACTGTACACATTCACGTGGGCAGTCTGATCATTCTTAACATGTGCATGTGTCCCTGCAGCCGGTGCCACAGTCACGATGGTGAGTGTGTCCTCCGTCCCGTGAGTCTGCCGGGGCTGCCGTAACAAACAGACTGTAACAGACCGGGCGGCTGAAGGAACACGTGCTTATTGTCTCTCAGTTCTGGAGGCTGGAAGGCATCAAGGTGTGGGCAGGGCTGGTTTCTTCTGAGGCCTCTCCCTTGGGCTGCAGATGGCCCTCGTCATCCCTCTGTGCATGTCTGTGTCCTAATCTCTACTTACACCTGTCCTTCTGGATCAGGGCCCACCCTATGGCCTCCTTTTTCGTTGGCTTTTTATTGGAGACAGAGTCTTGCTCTGCCTCCTAGGCTGGAGTGCAAGTGGTGTGATCTTGGCTCACTACAACCTCTGCCTCCCGGGTTCAAGCAATTCTCCCACCTTAGCCTCCCAAGGAGCTGGAATTACAGGTGCCCGCCACCAAGCCTGGTTACTTTTTTTGTGTTTTTAGTAGAGACGGGGTTTTTACCATGTTGGTCAGGTTGATCTCAAACGCCTGACCTCATGTGATCCACCCACCTCAGCCTCCCAAAGTGCTGGGATTACAGGCGTGAACCACCGAGCCCGGCCCTCTTTTTTTGGGGGGAGATAGAGTCTTGCTTTGTCACCCAGGCTGGAGTGCAGTGGCGCAATCTTGGGCCACTGCAACCTCCAGCTCCTGGATTCAAGTAAATCTCCTGCCTCAGCCTCCCAAGTAGCTGGGATTATAGGCACACGCCACCACGCCTGGCTAATTTTTGTGTTTACAAAAATTAGAAATGGGGTATCACCATGTTGGACCAGGCTGGTCTCAAACTCCTGGCCTCTGGTGATCCTCCCACCTTGGCCTCACAAAGTACTGGAATTACAGGTATGAGCCACCACCCTGGCTTTTGTTTTTTGAGACAACATCTGGCTCTGTTGCCCAGGGTGGAGTGCAGTGGCATGACCTCGGCTCATTGCAACCTCTACCTCCTCGGTTTAAGCGATTTTCCCACTTCAGCCTCCTGAGTGACTGGAACCACAGGCGCCACTAAGCCCAACTAATTTTTATATTTTTTGGTAGAGATGGGGTTTTTCCATGTTGCCCAGGCTGGTCTTGAATTCCTAAGCTCAAGCGATCCACCTGCCTCAGCCTCCCAAAGTGCCAAATTGTAGGCGTGAACCACCATGCCTAGCCGAATACTGTATTTTCAATGTGCATCATGGCTGCGGATTTGGAATCTGCTAATGTGGAGGGATTATATGTATATTTTTTGAGATGGACTTTTGCTCTTGTCACGCAGGCTGGAGTGCAATTGCAGTGGCAAGATCTTGGCTCACTGCATGCAACCTTCACCTCCGGGGTTCAAGTAATTCCCCTGCTTCAGCCTCCCGAGTTGCTGGGATTACAGGTGCACGCCACCATGCCTGGCTAATTTTTGTATTTTTAGTAGAGACAGGGTTTCACCACGTTGGCCAGGCTGGTCTCAAACTCCTGACCTCAGGTGATCTATTTGCCTTGGCCTCCCAAACCGTTGGGATTACAGGTGTGAGCCATTGTGCCCGGTCAAGGGATTATATTTATTGAAAAAAAGCTCCATGTATGAGTGGACCTACACAGTTACTCAAGGGTCAGCTGTAAATCACTTATTTAAAATGCATTATTCGGCCGGGCACGGTGGCTCACACCTGTAATCCTAGCACTTTGGGAGGCTGAGGTGGGTGGATCACCTGAAGTCAGGAGTTCGAGATCAGCCTGGCCATCATGGTGAAACCCCATCATTAAAAAAAAAAAAAAGCATTATTCAATGCTTTTTAATATAGTCACAAAATTGTGCAACCACCACCACAGTCAAGTTTAGAACATTTTAGTCTCTCTCCAAAATACCCTGTACCCATTAGCAGTGACTCTCCGTTCCCCGCTCTCCCCAGCCCCTGACAAACTGCTAATCTACTTCCTCTATCTATGGATGTGTCTGTTCTGGACATTTCAGCCTTTTTTTTGTTTTGTTTTTTGAGACAGACGGGGTCTTACTCTGTCACCTAGGCTGGAGTGCAATGGCGCAAGCTCTGCTCCCTGCAACCTCTGCCTCTCTGGCTCAAGCAGTCCTCCCACTTCTGCCTCCTGAGTAGCTGGAATTATAGGTGTGTGCCACCACGCCCAGCTAATTTTTTGTATTTTTAGTAGAGAGGGGGTTTTACCATATTGGCCAGGCTGGTCTCCAACTCCTGACCTCGAGTGATCCACCCACTTTGGCCTCCCAAAGTGTTGGGATTACAGGCATCAGCCACCTTTTTTTTTTTTTT